GCTGGACCGCTGTCAAGGTTACAGCTGGACTAGACCTGACGGCTTCACCCAAACCAAGAAGGCGACACAGGGTATAGGTGAGCAGCTGCTCCATTTTAAGAAAAACTAATACATATCAATCTGTCTGTATAAGTAAGTGTCAGTGTGTGTTTTTGATGTGGACCCAAGTGGATGAACTTTAACAAAAGGCGAGTTGTTTATTTTGCTGAAAAACATGAATACAAAAGGCAAAAAATGAAACTAAAACCCAAACTAGTAAAACCTAGAACTTTCAAAATAAAACAGAAATATAATTGAATGTAGACATGACAACACAAGCTTGACAGTAGTCATGGAAACACAAACACATGACTCACTGGGGAAACAGAACAAAAAGAGAGACATATGGGAACAGATGAGGAAGACAAAAGCACGGGCATAACTACACGTTAAACATAGAGGACACCCATATGGAAAAGATATACATAAATCTTATAAAGTTTGTATCTTTCTTGCGTGAAACTTGTATGAAAATCATACAAGAGTGAAAACAGATATAAGATCCCTTGAAAAATGATATAAATGAAACTTACTAAAACAGTATATGAAAGTAATGAGAAAGTGGCCACTTTCATGAGTAAATCATATAAGCCTTACATGATTCACTATATGAAGTAAGCCAAATCATATGCAAGTCTTTTTTCTATTTATAAGAAAAAAGACTTTAAGGCTTATATGATGGGACAATCGTAGCTCAAGAGTTGGGTGTTCGTCTTGTAATCGGAAGGTTGCCGGTTCGAGCTCTGACTCGGACAGTCTCGGTCGTTGTGTCCTTGGGCAAGACACTTCGCCTACTGGTGATCGCCAGAGGGGCCGATGGCGTGATATGGCAGCCTCGCCTCTGTCAGCCTGCCCCAGGGCAGCTGTGGCTACAACCGTAGCTGCCTTCACCAGTGTGTGAATGTGAGAGTGAATGAATAGTGGAATTGTAAAGGGCTTTGAGGGGTCCCAAAAAACGCAATATAAATGCAATCCATTATTATTATTATTTCTTTTCCAAATGGGCAAGACAGACAGAAGACTGGAAAAGACTCATAAACACATGGATGAAATAAAAACTAGAATAAAACTCAACTAAACCCTAACTAAATAATAACACAAAAACCTAACATTATCGCAATCTAACATAAAAAAAATCTAAAAGCTGGGTCACAGCCCCTGACAGTAAGATGTGAAAAACTTTTTAATTTCTCAATCCCCCCCCCCCTGCAGCAATGGTGTATGGCAGCCTCCATTTCATCACCTTCGATGGGAGAACGTACTCCTTCAAGGCCCTGGGAGAGTTTGTGATATTGCGTCTCTCATCTGCCACCGGCTCTAATATCTTCACCCTGCAAGGACAGATTGACAGGCTACACCCAGACGCAAACAGGATCACTGAAGTCCCAGCGGTGGTGCGCATGGCTGCCTTCTACCAAGGCATTGGCAAGGTCAGGATAAGAGCGAGAAAGTCTGTGTGCGCTAAAGGAATAGTTCCATTTGGGAAAGCATATATATTCACTTCTGGGAGTTAGCCCAGGAGATGGATTTTTAGCTTAAGCGAGATTTTCTAAGCTAAACTTATCATCTCCACTTCATTATAAAATGCACATGGCAGTAATCTTCTAACTTTCGGGAAGTAAACAGATGATTACACTTTCTTTATTTTCCATAAAAGAGTAGAAATGTGCTGCAAATAGATCTATAACAATTTGACTGAACATGTGCGATCATCTCTGTTGTGGCAGGTACATCATCAAAATCTTTAGGCAGTAATGAATTTATCTGAAATCTTAATTCCATATTTTTCCTATGCTTCTTTCGTTGCAAGATGCATGCAGGCTTAAATAGATATTAGATGATACTGTTGATATTCCATGGATGAACCAAGCTCCAGATAAACATTTTAAATTTTCAGATTGAATGGAGGAGTTCAGAGAAGGACAGCAGACTGCGAGTTTTGGTGGATGACGTTGAAGTCCCAGTCACCGTTGGTAATAATCACCACACACATCTCAAGGGGATCAAGTACATATTTTTATTCTTAAAGTGTACTAGAGAAGCTTTGCATGCCGCTGGTGAGTGAGGAGTCTGTGATCGCAGCCTGAGCCGTGTGCCTGAGATGACCAAATAAGGCTCATTCAAAGTGAGCAAAGTGAACCAGTTGGCTCAGAGAGATTTCCTTGTTATTACCTCATTATTTTAAATTTTCAACACATTTAATACAATCATCCATCACTGTAACAGTGTATACATGACTAAAAAGGAGGAAAAGCAGTAATAATAGATCCCTTTTAAAAACTATGTAACAATTATATAACAGTAAATCAGGCACGTGTATGAAGTATTACAGATTTAAAACCTATTATAAACAACACATTACAGTCTTAACTATGTGATGCATATATGTTTGCTGTCCATTCAGGTCTTGTACATGCCAGTAAGAATAACTTTGCAGTGCGCTGTACTGAACTGCAACGCTGCACGGCTGTGTATGCCAACGGCCTCCACGTGGTGGTGTGGCGAAGTGGGGGTAGCAATCAGCTGTGCGCCTTAGTGGAGGTTCCTGAGGCCTTCTTCAACCGCACCGTGGGTCTCATGGGCCTCTGGAGCGCCAACCCCTCTGATGATTTCCTCATGTCGGATGGCAAGGCCATTCGCTCGACGAATGTCAGCACCCCTGCAGAGGAAAAACTGCATCTCTTTGGTTTGTCCTGTGAGTGGATCATTGCTGTTTTTAGAAACGGGTTGGGGCATTTTGAGAATTAGCTTAATACAAATCATTTCTGAGAGGAGTGTTTTTATTTGATGTTCATCGGTTTGTCTGAAGCACAACTCCAAATGAATGCTATGCTGCCACTAGGTGGCAAAAGTCTACGACTTAAGCTTGTGTTACTGTTTTTATTTATACTCTTGAGCTGTGCTGAGCTCCCTTTTGAGGTTTCTGTTGTTAAATCATTATCCTTAATACTAAACAACTACAGATTCAGATTTATTGGAGCAGGGGTTCTGGAAACTTTTCTGAGGACTTACTTCAAGTTTTAAAACAATTTAACTGATTTATGCTTAACATCTCTTGTGGACTGACTCAATATTCCCCCATGCTTGCCAGCTAGCTGGCTAATAAGCAAAACAACACTGCAGCAGAAACAGCTTGTTGTAGAATTTAGTAAATTCATGACAGATTGAAGAGATGTATTGCATTAACATCAACATTTCTGGCCCAAAGATAACAGGAGATGAAGCATAAAACAGAATTTGCTCATTTTAATGGTGTATGTGTACTTTTAAACGATGCAGTATAATTTTAATCGTGTGTGTGTGTGTTTAGGGGCAGTCCCAGGCCCAGAGAGCCTATTGTCCTCTCTAACTCCAATGAATTCACTGGTGGTCACCCCCACTGAGGACCTGCTGAAAAGCATCACTCCTGCTGAGATTGAAGAGCTGACAAGAACCTGTAAAAGCAGCATGCAATGTGTCCATGACACACTAGCAACCGGTGTTCCTGAACTGGGCCAGGAGACTCTGAAAGCTGAGACAGAATTTCAAAATCTGGCCCTGATCAAAGGTAAACTTGTCTGAACTCGTCTCTAAAAAACAATGGTGCATTTTTATCACTGACCTGTAATAATTAGATACAGTGTTTTTGTGATCTGGCAGGTAACATGCCTCCAATAGTGACACAGCCCACAGTGATCCGCTCTCAGGTCAAATCCCAGGTCAGCGTTCAGATCATCGCTGAGGATGCCAACAGAGACAACATCACTTATTCGCTGCTCTTACCCAGGCCTCCCCAAGCTTCGATCAACAGTGGTGAGACACCTACTCACACTCTCCGTGCCTAGCTCCATTTGTTGCTGTTACAGATGACGTTACTGTTGACATTTGTTAGAGGGATGGAGAGGCTGCCGGCAGTGCAGTCTGTCAGCAGATGGGACATTTCAGAGCTGAGTCAGTAGACTGTAATGCTGAGAGTGACAAGCACAAGACACAAAATACACAAAACACGAAAAAATATGAAATGCTGTTTCAGTGATGTAGGTGTTTACAGCCTCCTGTGTTCTCTCCTGTCCAGGTAATGGCTACCTGACTTGGACCCCTCTAAGCACCCAGCCTGTCCAGCTGAGCATCAAGGTCAGTGACAAACTGGGCAGCTCCCTCTTCACTCCCATCCTGCGTGTCTGCAACTGCCTCAACGGAGGAACGTGCCAGTATGACAGCATCACTGAAAACCATCTGCAGGGAAAGTTTCAGGTGCTTTATTGTCTCAGTTGAGCTGACACTTTCATCTAACTGCACCATTTCTTGTCATGGCATTCATGATTTCTGTTTACAAAATTGCAGCTTTGTGCCAGTGTCAACCTTGAACAGCGATAAGCAGGTGTAACTGAAGATGATGTAGCAGCAGCCCTGACAAGAACTCATAGTATACTGAATGTTAATCATCCCTAAAAGAACAAAAATATATGTATTTATATCCTCATACTCTTTGACTAGGAGGTGTCACAACACAGGCAACTGTAGCCAGTGTTGCCAACTTAGCAACTTTGTCACTATACTTAGCAACTAGCGACAAATCTGGCTACTTTTTCTGGTGTTATTGGAGACTTATTTATGATGACTTTTTGACGTGAAAGTGCGTATCGCTCTTCTCAACAAGCAGCGGTGCTGCCGTCGGCAGCTCGCCCGTGCCAAAGCGCTCACAGGCGGAGGATAGTCCTCCCCCCGCTGCTATCAAGGCAGGAGATGTTCACACCTGTGCGTCCAAACTGCAAATGAATCACGCATGAGCGAAGCCGCTGCTCACGCACTGACTGTAACGCAGTCAGTTCTTCTTTTACTGTTATGCTGTTTTGTGGATCACAAGGTTTAAAACTGCTTATAAAAACACACACACACACACACACACAAAGTAACTCCACCAGAGTGCCCTTTTTTGCATCACTTTTGCCGGTGGAAGCCCGGATAAAGGAGCAGGGTTGGAATTGTGACATTAAAAAAACAATAATTGCTAAAATAAATTTAATTTGTAGTTCTAAATAATTCTAAATTCATTTAGGATGTTTTTTATTCACTTTGTGTCTCTTCCACGGCGTTATTTTTCTCTCTTACGACTTAGGTTACAATTATATTAGCATGACCAACTATGCAAATTAGGCGATGACGTCACTTAGCGACTTCTAGCGACTTTTAGGACAACCAATAGTGATTTTCCTTACTGAGGAGTTGGCAACACTGCTTGGCAACACTGACTGTAGCTAATAGCTGTCTGTTAATACCTTTGCTAACTTAAGTCACTCAACTGGACACTTCAACTATGTTTCTGCTGTTAATGCCTTTTAGCATTATTAACTGACCAAAAACATGGCTTGATGTTTGATACAGACTCTCCAAAAAGTTAGTGCTTGGGTTTTGATCAGATTCTAAACTGTTTAGCAGGAATTTGGACCTGTGCAATACAGGCATACACTTTATGGAGCATGCTAACCATGCTCGCTAGCTAGCTGATAGCTTAGCACTACACTCTCTTCTAGGTTGTTTTTTCCCCTGAAAAGACCAAATACCTCCTTCAAAATGTCCAGTCCAGTCCTGAAACCAGTGGGCAACCTCACATTAGCCACAACTGTGTTTTATTTACAGTCTGTGGTTTGGACCTTCTTAAGGAAAGGGCAACCAATCTGAAGAAAGTTAGTTTATTGAAAGGGAGAGGGCAGCTTTGTGGTGAAATAGGAATGCTATGTGTGATCTACAATGTGCCTAACCTTCCAGGTGGTGGGGTGTCTGTGTCCAACGGGATTCAGTGGGAAATTCTGTGAGAACACTACAGATTTATGTCAAGGCGAGCCCTGCTTCCGAGGAGTGCAGTGCCGATCAGAGTCTGGCCAGTTCACCTGTGGTGAATGTCCTGATAACACTTTCGCTAATGGGAAAAAAGGATACAAGTGCTTTGAAAGTAGTATGTAGATTTTTTTTTTACTTGTCATCACATTATCACCTTCTAAAAACCACCATGACTGACCCCATAATTTCACCCTGCACCTTCCTTTTCCCAGACATGTGCATCCCTCCTTTTCCCTTCCCCTGCCACAAATATGCTTATTGCAACAGCACAAAACAGAGCTACACCTGCACATGTATGGAAGGCTTTAATGGAGATGGACACAACTGCACAGGTAGTGAGCACTCAGCACTTGAGCATGAATAATAATGCAGCTTTTTAAAACGTCTTCACTTCATTCTTTGTGTCTGTATTGTAGATAAAGACGAGTGCGTGGAGATTCTGACCTGTCAAAATGCCAAGTATGAGTGTAAGAACAAGCTTGGCACCTATGAATGCATCTGCAGATATAAAAACTCCAAGGATGATGAAGGATGTGGTACGTTCACCCTCACATGTAGTGGACTATTGTGGCAGTCAAAGTCTAAATATCCATAAATGCATTAGAGTGAGTCAGATGACAGTTTGCAGATACTCATGTAGCTCTAGACAGGTGTGTAATTTGTGAGTTGTGTGTGTGAGGAATAAACAGTTTTGCGCACAAATAGCAAGCCCCAGACATTATATTTAATATTAATATTTACACTTATAAGTGTAGAGGCTGACACAATGCACTTATTTAACCTATAAGAAAAAATTGTCTTAAGAAAAAATAAAAAACTAAATAGGTTTTTCTATGTCTTAATGAGATCTTACCCAGTTTCATATGGAGAAGTTTTTACTTAGCGAGTGAGTTGGTTAATGACTAGTTAGTGACAAAGAGTACTTCCTCTTTTTGATGACCCTTTTAAACTTTCTTTGAACTGTGGAAACTTTAACAGGTGTTCAACACATAGCTTCCACTGTAGTTACTATAATACCTCTAAAGTTACAGCAGGAAATCAAATAAATGTAGACACACTAGATTCAAAAAGCTTCAACAACCCTGAAACAGCAAATGAATCCAAACCATTTATCGTCTTTTACTTGGAACCTATCGCAGCTAGGGGAAGTCACCAGTCTGTCGGCTATCACAAGAGACAAATAAGCATTAATGCTCACATTCACATCTACAGATGTAGCTGACATACATGTCATTGGACTGTGCATAGGAGGAAGCCAGAATACCTGCGAGAACATGTGAACTCCACATGTAATAAATAGAACAGAGGATTTAAATCCAGGACCTATTTGCTATTCAGTTCAATTCAATTCAGTTTTATTTATATAGGGCCAAATCAAAACAACAGCAGTTGCCCCGTGGTGCTTTATATTGTAAAGTAAGAACCCTACAATGTTCGAGAGAAAACTCCAACAATCAGACAACCCTCTATGAGAAAGACCCTCATAGAGGGACCCAAACCCTCTATGTCACTTTATAATGCTGGGTACAAAATGATTGTTTGGCTAAGGATAGTACAGATGTACAGTTTTATTTATACAGCGCCAAATCACAACACTGTTGCCTCAAGGCGCTTTATATTGTAAGGTAGACCCTACAATAATACATAGAGAGAAAAGGCCAACAATCACATGACCCCCTATGAGCAAGCACTTTGGCGACAGTGGGAAGGAAAAACTCCCTTTATACAGGAAGAAACCTTCAGCAGAATATTAAATTCCGTTCTTTTGAATTATTTTGGCGACAGAGAAAGACTGAACTCAGAGTGGCCAAGCTCAAAAAATAATCTTTATTTTACATTCCCGGAAATGGAGACCTGAACACACGAACACACGAACACACACGCTCAGGTCTGAATTCTTTGCCAGCTAAATCCGTATTTCTGCACTACGTCACACCGACACACAGTTTACTTAGTTCCGCTTTTTGTGTCTGGTTTATTAATATGCCTGTGCAGCTCTGCACTAAAACTTCCTGTTCTCTGCAAAAGCATGCAGTTTCCTGTCAGTACTTTTGGCTCAGATTCTACTCAGAGTTGGCCCTTTTAGACTGGAAGCAAACTATATTAAAAACAAGTAACAATAAGCACTAAATAAGCACTAACAATATATTAATTTTGTGACAAGAACCAGGCTCAGGGAGGGGCGGGGCCATCTGCTGCGACTGTTTGAGGGTGAAGAGCGGAAGACAGGGTAAAAGACTCACTGTTGAAGAGAGTCAGAGATTAATAATAACTAATGTTTAAATGCATAGTGACATATAAACACCAAGAGAAAAGAGGTGAATGAAGAGGAAACCCCCAGCGGAATAGGTATATTGCAGCGTAACTAAATGAGGATTCAGGGTCACCTGATCTAACTCTATGGTTTATCAAAAGGGAAAGTTTTAAACCTAATCTTAGAGATATAGTGCTCTACATACTGCACTGTGCAGCTGAATTAAGGAATCAAAACAGGAATCCAAAACTGGATTAAGACCATGACACTTTCTAAATATGCTCTAACTCAGCGGTCTCCAACCTTTTTTGCACCACGGACTGGTTTATGCCCGACAATATTTTCACGGACCGGCCTTTAAGGTACGGAGCCCCGCAGGGGACATGGGAGAAAAAAAAATTAAGACGGACTTTTGCGAGATCTCGCAAAACAAACTCGGGATCTCGCAAAACTTTTGCGAGATCTCGCAAAACAAACTCGGGATCTTGCAAAACTTTTGCGAGATCTCGCAAAACAAACTCGGGATCTCGCAAAACTTTTGTCTCGACCTCCCGTTAGCTTCGAGCTATCAGGAGGTCGAGACCTTCTACAGCCGGGAGGAACACCGCTTTCCCGGCACATCGTGCCTCGACCTCCCGGTCGGCTTCGAGCCAGCGTCCGAAGAATGCGGCTAAAACGTTTGCGAGATTTTGTTTTGCGAGATCTCGCAAAACTTTTGCGAGATCCCGAGTTTGTTTTGCGAGATCCCGAGTTTGTTTTGCGAGATCTCGCAAAACTTTTGTGAGATCCCGAGTTAGTTTTGCGAGATCTCGCAAAAACTTTTGCGAGATCTCGCAAAAGTCCGTCTTAATTTTTTTTTCTTCCATGTCCCCTGCGGGGCTCCGTATTAAGGTGTCGTGGATAAATACAACAAAATAAAACTAGTACCGGTACCGAAAAAATGAAGATTTATTCATAACACACGTGAAAAGACCCAGGAAAACCGAGTTAACGACAAAAACGATAACAAAATAACGCTGAAAACCGATAAAAACC